GGAAAACGGGACAAATTGAGGCAACCTTAGTAGAGTTTCAAACAATATAAATAACAGAACATTTATCCTAGATGTACTTTCTCTCTCTCTCTCTCTCTCTCTCTCTCTCTCTCTCTCTCTCTCTCTCTTTCCATCCTCCTTTCATTTCTAGTTTTGGGACCACCTTAAAATAGAATAAACAACATTATGAAGATTTTTAAAAATAAAATTGAGGAATCCTGTCTAAAGGTTTGATCATACTGATATGTAAAAAAAGAATTGTAAATGAAATTAGAATTTTATAACATTTCACTTATGCTTTTGTTCCTGAGTTTAGGAAAGACAATTTATTGAAAAATCATTGTCAACAAAGAACAACAGCGGGGGGGAAAGTGCCTTTCATAGAATCTATTGGCATTCTGGAATTTCTCCCTACCTGCCCTCCAGAACCAAGCAACAGCAGGACACTTTATCATTGCCACCAAGATGTAACACTGTTGCTACTGCCACCAAGAGTGAGTCAGAAACTCTCCTGTGCACATGTGATATTCTCCTAATAAAATCAAGTGCTTTCTCTCCCAGCTCTCTTTTTCGTTTCACTCTCACTCAGATGTCACCTCTGCATCCTGCTCCCCAATAAACTTCTCATGAGGGCTCAGTTGCATAGTGTGACTTTGTGGAACCCCTTGGCTCCAACATGACAAGGTACCTTCAGGCATTAAATCATGACACAATTGCCGCGCATTTTTCTCCTGGAGAATGCTGTTGGACGTATTTGGGGATTTTTTTTTTCACTGTACACTTTCTTTGTGAAGTGTTTTTCCATTTCATAACTACAGTGTTGTTTTAAATACAATTTCCATATGCTTGCATGTCAAATGGAATTCCTGTACATTTCTTACCTGTGTCAGATACTAACCCAAAAGCTGAATCGACATACTTGGGAGTTCTTATATTCTGGAGTGCTCTGTTCGGTGTTCTTCAAAGTTGTAACATGAATCAAGCTCTATTCAGTGTCAAGGGAGTAGTAGTCCAACTCACAGGAAGAAAGGTGTTCCCAGAAATGAAGCACTTGGGAAATTAAAGCTCCTTTTTAATTTGGTACTTCAGTGAGAGTCTTACAAATGTAGTATGAATTGCAAAATGTCCCTGCTGGAAAAAAAAAAAAAAAAAAAAAGATGTTCCTTGCTATTGTTTAACTTTGTTTCAAGTGTTGCTTATTCTTTCTTGGTTGAAAGGGGTGGAAAAACCATTTCAAACCTCTGAATTACATTTCCACTTAATTTAACTCAAGTTACGGGATGACATGAGTCAGTGCCTCAGTGAAGGGAATAGTAATCCTGCAAGACTGTTGCTTCTATTCTGTGATCCTTTCCACGTGTAGACACATGGAGGCTTTGTTATATAAAAGCAGCTTTTGCTAAGTATATTTCAAAGGAGACTAAGACTCCTTAAGTAAAAACAAACAAAACAGAGAGTAGTTAGTGAAGGCCAGTGTGGTTTAGGAAAGTGTCTCAGTCACTTTGCTGCGATAAAACACCGTGAAGAAAGGAACAACTTAGGGAAGGAAGGGATTGTTTGGGGATTCATATAGCTCTGGAGGGTTAGGAAAACATGGCTATAGGAACAGCTGAGAACTCATATCTGAAACCATAAACAGAGAGGGCACTGGGTTTTTGAAACCTCAACTCTGCTCCCAGTGACACACTCCAGCAATACCACACCTCCTAAGCCTCTGAACACAGTATCAAGAGCTGGGGGCCAAGTATTCCAATACCCAAAATGTATGTGGGAAAATTCATTCACATTCCTACAGAAAGGAAATCAACACCGAAGAGTTGTTGTGACCGGGCTACGCAATCTATGCCAATGATTTGTAATTCTGTCGCTATTCTAAATCAAATTAAAATAGAATTTCTTTATCAAAAACCTTTGTCATTAAAGCATATTCATGGGACTAGAAGTCAAGTCCAAACTTCTTTCTAAATATCTGCTCATATTGCATCTCTTTTATCCCTATGTCTAGGCACAGTGGGGCATTTACTATCCATACCTCCTGCATTCTCAGGGGCCTCTCCAAGACTCAGGAGTCTTTGGACACATAAGAATATTCTCTCATGGTTTTAATTTTTTACTCAGCTCCTAAGGAAAGAAACTGAGGAATATGGCCAGTGCTTTCATATTTCTTTTCATGTTCTACAAGTACCTTAACTAATTCTTAAATTAGGTAGAATTAGAGGGGGCAACACATGATAACTATGATTTCATCCTCTTTGTTTCTCAGTTAATCTCCACTATTGCAGAGGCTCAATGGAAAAAGGCTTCACCATGAGATCCTTGTTCATACGGAAATTAGCACAAATTACAGAAAGGTAGCTCAAACTTTTCCAACATTTTCTCACCTGTTTTGTTCCTTCAAGATAAACAGCTGAACTTCTGTCTCAGTTTTCATCTACAGATAACTGTTATCATGGAAAGACGAGGGAGAGAGGAGAGAGAGAGAGAGAGAGAGAGAGAGAGAGAGAGAGAGAGAGAGAGAGAGAGAGAGAGATGCTGTTCTGGTTAGTTTTCCACCAATTTGACAAGAAGCTAGAGTCGTCTGGGAAGAAGGACTCTCAACTGAGAAAATGCTTCCATCAGATTGGCCTGTAGGCAAATCTGCAGGACATTTCTTAATTAATAGTTGATGTGAGAGAGTGCAGACTACTGTGGGCAGTGCTACACCTGGCAGGTGGTCCTGAGTTGTCTAAAAAAAAATCAGGCTGAACAAACCATGAGGAGCAAGCTAGTAAGTGATGTTCCTCTGTGGTCTCTGCTTTAGTTCCTTCCTCTAGGTTCTCTTAATGAAGGACTGTGACTAGAATATGTAAACCAAGGAAGTCATCCATTCCTGAAGTTGCTTTTGGTCATGACGTTTTATCACAACAACAGAATACTCACTAGGTCTAATGTCCGTCAGGGATCTGCTTTTGGTACTGAGCTTTCTGGGCTGATTTCTGCTCCTTATTAGTTTGTTGTTTTCTTAAATTTCATTGATGGAAGCCTTTAAGCATCATATAGCATGTTGTTTTCTAATTTAAAAGGTGTTGAAAATTCTCAAATTATCATCCTTGGAAAGGAATCTGAAAAAGATGATTCTTGATTTATAAGATGATATCATTTGCCTTTAGCTTGAGACTTAACCTTGGGAGATTAGTGATATAAACTGACTCTGAGGTCCTTCTCTATCTTAGATAATTATACAATCACCTTCATCTGTTTCTCTTGTGAAGGACAGATGCTACTCTCAGAAACCAGGCTCCATGGAATTCCAATATTTTGTTCAAGTCACTTACCTTGTTTCCACAAGATGACCATATATCAAGGATGCTCACTCTAGCCATAGCAAGAAGCCAGGTAGAAAAAGATACCTAAAGAGAATCAGTGCTTCCTGCTATCCTGCCAGATGCCAGTGTGAGTCAGGAAGCCTTCATATTAGTTTCTCAGTTGTTACTAATTGCAACCACAAGGAAAGTCTTTCCCCCAACAAAGCCAGTCCAGCTGAGCTCAGTCAAGTGTTCTGAAATGAGAAAAAGAATAACTTTTATGTTTATCAATTTAAAGCTGGAAAAAAAGTTATGGGAATTCAGGACTGTAATGCCTTAATAAGTGGCAATTGTTCAAATGATGCACAAAAAATGTATAAATTACTTATAAAGATGGAAAAGGAGTAAATATTAACTAAGAAATGATGAAAACAAAATAGAAGTAAAATCTTTTATAAAACAATGTTCTATAATTAACACTGGATCTTTAGCAAGTTGACAATCCTTTTTCACCCAGTTCCAAATTTGGTTCTTAGATTTAAAATTATAGGTTAACTCTCTTTTCCTTTGCTTTTTCCATTTGTAATGTGGATAATGCTACCTACCTTGGGGAATGATAATGAATACTGAATATAGAAGGAGATCTGGCATAAGGCATTGCTATATACATGTTTAATATTGTTGATGATATTTTTATTAATATCCTTGCAATCCCTCAGACCTTGCTAAGTAATTCAATAATTTACTGGTCCCTAAAGCTAGACTCATTTTTCTTTGTGTGG